GGTTCTGATCACTGTACTACTTGTTCTGCTTTATATAACGCTGGATGTGAACTGGCCTTGTGGTCATTTGCTTGTGCTCAGAGTGTGTGGTGACTTCGTGATCCACCCTGAGCTTGCTTTGGTTTTCCTGACTGGTCTTGTGACCTCTTGTTCTCCCCCACTTTGCCTATGGGGGTGTGTCAAACTCATATGTTGCATATTGTGTAGGCTGTAGTGGGGTAGCCCATATGGGGTACAACCCAATTTATGGGGGCTGGTTCTTTGCCAGAAACTCTGGCTTGAGAGCAGCAAGGTAAGGGTTGTCAAGGGAGCACATGTGAGTCATGAGGTCAGCTACAGCGGTGAAGTCAGACAGCTCAGGGAAGAGAAACGGCAACACAAGAAGGCCTAGCGTGGTAGAAGAGGGGGAGGAGTAGCGCCTATCCAAAGCGTCATAGCAAGCGTGGGCCGACGTCACCTGGCAAAAATGGGCCCTGCGGTCGAGCGGCATGTGAGGGCGGACTGCAAACTGGGCGGTGGCGACGCGTGCCGTCCACCATGTGTAGGCAACACGGTCAGCCCGGTACTGGTGTTGCAGCTCCTCCCCAGCGCCAGCAGCAGGCTCAGCTGGAGTCGTGGGGGCCTGAAGGGACCCCGACGTGTGCTTCGAACAGGGAGACGCCGTCGCTAGCGACACTCAGTAGGAACAGGTGCATGTCCTCTAGCCAAACTCGAACTCGATAGGGCGCCCGTCTACGTCAAACCCTAGGACAGTGATAGTCGTCATGACAGAAACTAGGTCAGGCAGCAGCACTAGGATCGAGTTGCAGATCTAGGCACGGACGGTGGCTCGAGAGACAGCCCTGCAGTAGGTGAGCAAGGCGTGGCACAACGGAGAGGGCCTGAGATCATACCATGTTGATGTTAAACGGAGCAGATGATCTAGGCATGATGTCAGCAGACCTCAAAACACCAACGCAAATCACAACCACAGGGAAATTGCAATCCATAACCTCTTCTTGTTGCCTCACAACTCTATTGCTCCCATCACTGCAAACGCCCCCCTATGCAACGAAAGCACTTCGCACACTGCTTCACACTCCCTCTCCCCACCTCCTTTCCCCCTCTTTCAAAACTGCCTCACCACATTATGCCCTTGTGAAAGTTCCCCGAATGTTCCATGTGGCATCGGCTCCGCGCCTTGCGCTGCCACACCCTGGCCTCACCTGCCACGCTAGCCGCCACGTCAGTTGTCCACCGCATTCAAGGCCTTCTCTGCTCCTTCCTCTCCACCGTTTCCTCCCCTTCGGCGACCTTTGCGGCCTTCTTCTCTCTTTCGACTTTTCCCTCCTTCCGCCCTTTCCGCAACTTCCGTTCCGTCCGCCCGTCCTGATTCCTGCACTCCCGTCTTCGCTCACTCACCTCGTCGCACGCAGAGAGTCGGTTGGGGCGATCTGATTGGGCGAGGGTCTCAGGCTTCGACACGACACCGGTAGACATGACGGCCACGTGCCGGTTGCATCGCGGAAAAGGAAAGTTGCGATTTTTGGCCTCCGAAGGTTTTTCTACGTACACCTTGCGTACAAATTGCGGAAAGTTGGGAAAAACAACGTACACAAATTGCAACATTCTGTACACCATTTGCGAATGCAAAAACCCGCGAAAAAATGTCACCGCAAAGTTGCAGTTCCGTCAACATTTTCGCGTCTCTCGGTTTCGCGCGGTTTAGAGTGTTTGAAAGCGTTTTGGCAGAGTAACATTGACCAAGACCAGGGTAACAACAATTTTCACGAAACAGACGGACCCCACGAAGTACAGCGAGGTTGCAAAAGTGGATACATCGTTTTCATTTATTCCCAAATCCGAACCCAACCGCCCAACCAAACCCTCAAATGCTACATGGTTTCTTCAGAGGTGTGACGTGTGAGCCAAAAAAATCATATTGAACCAATCATTGTTGTGCTGTGAATTGTCAATCAATCCGCACCATTCCTTACGTACACGTCAGCCACGGCTAACCAAACCCATCCAAAAACGGCCACCCAATACATCCCCTCAGCTTCACCGCGAAAACTTTACTCCATGATTCCCCTCTGCACCTGTACCCCCCGTACTAATACCCACAACCTACCTCATAGTCTCCCCCTTGTTATTATTTTGTTCTATGTTCAGCAGAAGCGCTCTCCAGCCTTGTACTAGCAACTAGGTTATGATGTTGAACAAACTGTTTGTAGTGCCATTCATTTACCGGCGATTTCTCCCTTTCCTCCCGTGGGTGACATTTGCGCAGGTATGATTTGAGCAGAGTGAAGGAAGTGTGGACCTTCTACGTTTCTCTGACACGTCTCTTAGGCGAATAGTGTAAGTATTTACTGCGATTTTCTGCACTGGTATCTTTGTGATTTATGAGTCTCAAATAGTAATCGACAGGTTAATGTCATTCCACGCACACCTCTCGTTCCATTTGTCGCACACATCGTGCTCCTCATGTTTCCTCGTTTCGACTGTCTTCCGTGTTCTGCTGTCTCTCATGTTAGATCCGCCGTGTTAAGCATCTGTTTCGTACTTTAGTGTGTGCGTAGCAACGATCGTCGTGAAGGCCTCCGAGACTAACAGTGCACGGGTGTAAAACGGTGAGATGCGGAGATTCTAACCTACACCCACTCCTTTTCTTGCAGGCTATCTCAAGATCCATCCATCTATTGTTTTCCACGTCTACAGCCCATCTCAACCACTCAATCGATGGTTCTTAGGTCCGACTTATTAACCGTTGTCGCCAGGGCTACGTATGTTTCGTCTGGTATGACGCATATTATTTTTGTCCGCTAACCCCACAGGTGCTATTTCTACGGGATGCGTTACAACATGGTGTTTTTGCATGTTTTGCAGGGCGTACTTGTGTTTGCAGGCTTACCGTCAACCAGAAGCGCAAATTGTTTATTTTTCACCGTTACAGCTTACTCCTGTCAAGCACCCAAATGGTGAGTAACTTGTTGTTGCTTGTTTACAATTTTTTCACTTCCTCAGTTCTCCCTGGTAACAACTGTTTCTAACTCGCAGAGTGTGCAGCTTCTGAGCAGTGCATTGTGCAGTGTGATTGTATTATGATTGGGTTGAGACGCAGGTCTAGAAACTTAGCAATGCAGTATAATGTAGGCGTAGCTGGAGAAAATCAGTGTACAGTTATGTGTATGCGTTGTGAATACTTATTATACAGTAATAAAAATAAACAGCGTGAACAATATACCATTTTGTTGACATCGCCAACCAATAGTAATTTGCTACTGTACACCAATTTGCATGCTCCGATTGGTTCACATGGCAGGATTACGTGCGTCGATTAGAATCTTATCCGACGGTTGACGTTCGAGTACGACGGCCGCCACGTCAGCCTTTCTGAGTTTCATCTAGAGTACGGCGTACGCCACGTGTCGTCGTCATGACACTTTCGCACAGGTTGCTCAAAGTTGACGGAAATGTTGCTTTACTGTATACTTGGTCAGTTGCCCAAATGTGTACAGTTAGTGACGGAAGAGTGACTGGGAAGTTGCTTGGTAAGTGACGGTCGGTATGCAGTTTTAAAACCTTGACTCAAAAATGCCGGGCAAAAAATATCGGGAAAGTTGCGGAAGAGTGTATTTCGAGTTGCTTTCCGAACTTCCCATTTTCGCGATGTGGGAGACGGTCAATGGTGATCGTGCTTGAGAGTTCGCGTTGTCCAGCCAGCATGGAACGGCGGGACTGCAGCGTGAAAGTCGCGTTTTGAAAGTGAAACCCTGGAACGGTTGTCTTGAGATCGCTTGTACGATCTCGGTTAGCGTGAACTTGTTAGAAAAAAAAACCGAGTGGACGGCAACAGCTGCTAACACTCGGTTTTTTTTTCTAACAAGTTCACGCTTCTAATCGATATTATTATTGCTTTCTATTACATGTACATTTGTGTGGCAGGAAGCAGTGTCATCTCTACATGTGAGATTCACAAGCTTGTTTCACGTTGATTTTATGTGCTGAATATTTTTTTGTTTTGCTTCATTTTTACGATTCCAATTCTTTTTTATTTTTGCTTCCCGATATGAACCTTTCTGTGGCAGAAAGCGAGTATCATCACAGGGGGCGATTCTTCAGCGACAAAACGCTAGTTAACTATGGTGATTCATCTGAATTTTTAGCGCTGATGTTATGTCAAACAAATATACCAATATGTGTTTCCGCCACAGCAATCTCTTAAAGCCGTCTATCCTTGCATATTGTTGTTTCATTTTCCAGACATTGCAATACATTCTATCTTGTCGCCATTGAGATATATAAATTCACCTATCCTTGCAGTTTGTTGTCAGCTTGTCTCATGTCTCCTTTTCTTTCGTCTCTACATGCAGGTGCATATATGTTGTGAAGATTAATTTGGTTAAACTATGCAGCTTTTCGCCCCTTATAACAACCTGACATGGAAACAAGCACGTGAAGATTATTTTTATTATGCCAGGCCTGATCTTATTTTGGGGCACGGAGCAATGAAGGTGATGTTTCCAAATTATAAGGTGATAAGTGCTAAATGATTGTTCTGGTTTTTATATTCTTTATCTGGCGTTATCTCATTTGTAATGCCGTTCACCCTATAATGTGTGCTGGTTTTGTGTTCCCAGGTTGTTTTAGCACTGCATTGTTTTTAATATTATGGGGCCACTGTACAAGGCCCTGTTTTTTACATTGTGATGTTATTTAATGTTTTGTTGTATTTCGGAAAATATATTATACAATTTTAACAAAAAAATGCTTATTACAAAAAAGAACACACTGTAAAGGGGAAATAATCGGGCCATGCGCTGGCCACGTGTGACCCGAAACTGACCCAAATGTGACTTTTCCTGCCAAATTTTAACCCGTACCTGACCCGTACCTGACTTTTCCCGCCAAAATCTTAACCCGTACCTGACCCGAAAGTCGCTTTTGGGTTAGCCACTCTGACCTCAGACTAACCTAAAGTGTCAGTTCCAGAAGTAACTTGTGGGTCACATTTCCAGATGTCCCCAATCTTGCCCGGAAGTCACCTGGGGGCCCCTTTTGGGTCAGAACATTTTGGAGATGGAGGCAAGCCTGCTGCTGCCGTGCTCGCACCTGCACCTGTGGTCGTCACTGCTGCTCCACTCCCACCATCTGCTGCTGCTGCAGTCACGCCGTCTGCTGTGGTTGCGCCTGTGGTGGTGCCTGAGGTAGCGCCTGTGGCTCCAGTGGCTTCAACCACACCTCAGGTGCCTGAAGCGAGTGTGACCACAGAAACAATATCCGTGGATGCGAGTGCACGTGCTGCTGATTCGAGCGAGAAAGCGAGGTGGTCGAAGCTGCGTCAGGAGGTTCGAGCTATGGATATTGCAATGACACGTGCTGCTTACCTGAGGTGGGACAAGCTGAGCAAGGAGACATCATGGGCCATGGAGATTGAAGCGGCCATTGATGCCGCCCTGCGTATCTGCTTCGTGCCCAAGCATCCCGAAGCTGTGGCGAATGTGACTCCCAAAACCGTGCCTCCTCCATCTGCAGCAGCAACGACTGTAGCAGCAGCACCTGCTCCCTCTGCAGCTGCAGCAGAAAAAACAACAGCGGTGAGAGGAGCTGCAGCAACAGTACAGAAGCCAATACGTACCCCATGTGCAGCAGCAGCAGCAGTAGCAGCCGCAGCAACAACAGCAATGAATTCACCTGCTTTGGCATCACCAGTGAGAGGAGCTGCAGCAGCAGCACAGGTTTCAAGACCTGCTGTTTCAACAAGGTGCAAGGTGGGGGTTGAAAGTGCAGTGAGAGCAGCTGGCAAGGCCAGCAGCAGGCAGGCGAGTGGGGTGAAGAGGAGAGAGGGGCTTGGGTGTGGGGAGGGAGCAGCAGGGAGGGCAGCAGGTGGAAGGCAGGGTGGTGTGAAGGCAGCAGGTGGCAGAGCAGTGGCAAGTGGCGTGTGTGGCAGGGAGGGGGTGAAGCAGCAGGCGGGGAGGAGAGAGGGCTTGGTGCATGAGAGGCAGGCGAGGCCAGACTGCTGCAGCAGCAGGGCGCACAGAAGGAGCTCCTGAAAGAACCCTCACTGCAATGCGTGCTCTCAACATGAGCTCATCCCATAGGAACGTGGGCTGTACATACATGGTACAGCAGTAAAGGGTGTGCTGGAACAATGGTGTCAATGGATCAACTCCCAGCTGCTGTTGGGAATATGTGATGACTTGTAGCCTTGTAGGTAGCACTATGTACACTGTATATTAGTATAACGTGTTAGGACATGTAATATGCAAGTGATTTGCATTTTCAAAACTCTGTTTCATCTGGGGAGAAGCAGTGCAGCTCAGCAAGAAGTGTGCAGCAACACACTGAAGCACGGGACCATTTCTGATGCTCTACACACACGGGTCCCAGAGGACTACTGGTATGAAGTGTACATTTGAGAAATGTGTGAATGGAACAGCTCGCGGCTGCTGTATTAAACATGATGACACTCACCTTCATCTGTGCCTGCATGGGTACATGTGTTACGGTACATGGGTTCATGGGTGACTAAGTGCATGGGTGCATGGGTGAATGGCTGCATGGGTGCATGGGTGCATGGGTGAGTGGGTGCATGGGTGAGTGGGTGGATGGGTGAGTGGGTGCATGGGTGCATGTGTGCATGGGTGCATGGGTGAGTGGGTGCATGGGTGAGTGGGTGCATGGGTGAGTGGGTGCATGGTTGAGTGGGTGCATGGGTGAGTGGGTGCATGGGTGAGTGGGTGCATGGGTGCATGGGTGAGTGGGTGGATGGGTGAGTGGGTGCATGGTTGCATGTGTGCATGGGTGCATGGGTGAGTGGGTGCATGGGTGAGTGGGTGCATGGGTGAGTGGGTGCATGGGTGAGTGGGTGCATGGGTGAGTGGGTGCATGGGTGAGTGGGTGCATGGGTGCATGGGTGCATGTGTGCATGGGTGCATGGGTGAGTGGGTGCATGGGTGAGTGGGTGCATGGGTGAGTGGGTGCATGGGTGAGTGGGTGCATGGGTGAGTGGGTGCATGGGTGAGTGGGTGCATGGGAGCGTATGTGAGTGCATGGTTGAAAGGGTCACGTAGCAGAAGCAAGGTATTGGGCGAATTGATGTGACTGAAAACCTCGGATGGCGGGCAGCAACGAATCAGAGTGTTGGTGGAGCGAATACACCGTTTCTCATCATGGGGGGATGAAGAAAGTGAGGGAGGAGTGAACACAGCAAGTGGCTAGCAGGGAGGACAGGGAAGCGAGGTGGCAGGGTGAAGGGAGAGAAGGCGATGGGGTGAGTGAAGGTACGCAGAGGAGGGAAGGAGGTTTGGAGCTCTGAGAGAGAGGGATCGCGGTTCTATTGGGCATGCTGCTGGTAACCAGCTATTGGTGGTAACCAGCTATTGGTGGTAACACGCTGCCCTGCTAGTGAGGAGTGAGGGAGCAACTGAGATGGCTGCTGAGGTGGCCACTGTGATATGGCAAGTGAGACACACAAGGTAAGCATTAGGATTGCCCTGGGTCCAGCTTTGGGGACGAAACTGCCATGGAGGATGGGATGGGATGGGATGGGATGGGATGGGATGGGATGGGATGGGATGGTATGGGATGGGATGTGATGGGATGGGATGAAATGTGATGGGATGGGATGGTATGTGATGGGATGGGAGGGTTGGGATGGGAAGAAGTGGGACTGTTTTGATAGGACTGGGATGGGTTGATTTGACAGCGGTGGGATAGGATGGGACTGGAATGTTAGGGATGGGATGGGATGGGTTGGGTTGGGATGGGATGGGACGGGATGGGAACGTTTTTGATAAGGGATCGGAATGTTTTGGTAGGCATGAGATGAGATGGCAAGTGAGATGGCAAGCAGGCAGGGTGAGAGGGACGGCGTAAAAGTTGGGATTAACCTTGTGCCCGGTGGAAAGGAGGCTGGGATGAAATGGGATGGGATGGTATGGGATGCTATGGGATGGGATGGGATGGGATGGGATGGGATGGGATGGGATGGGATGGGATGGGATGGGATGGGATGGGATGGGATGGGATGCAATGGGATGGGATGGTATGGGATGCTATGGGATGGGATGCAATGGGATGGGATGGGATGGGATGGGATGGGATGGGATGGGATGGAATGGAATGGGATGGGATGGGATCCGAGGTAGAGAAAAGAATAGGAGTAAAAGAGAATTTTCAGCAACTACCACCCAGAAAGGAAAAAGAGAGAGAGAGAAAAGAACGGATTAAAATGACAGTTACCACAAATTGAAAAAAAAGAACTTGCGGTTCAGATAAAAGTGTGAATGGGCTTGGTTCTGAAGATAGATGCTGATTTGAATGGCTTACACCAACGAACTGCTGACAGCAGACTCGACTTAACCAGCATGCCCTTATGTCTGGAGGAAAGAGATGCTTCTTTTGTTCCAACATGTGCCTGCAGCTGGGGAAGTCGGGTCTTCTCACGTGCCATCTTGCCAGTGGCCAGCGCTCAGCGAATGAGCAGCGGCAATTGGGGGCAGGGCCATGGGTGCATGGATGAAAGAGTGCATGGATGAAAGAGTGCATGGATACGTAGCTGATTATGGGTCATTGATAATGCGTGGAAGGCACTTTTGTGCCCATGTGGTGGCATGTAACAGCCATGGAGGTTGGGATGGGATGGGATGCGATGGAATGCAATCAGAGGTACAAGAAGAAAGAAAGAAAGAAAACCACGTCGCAGTTTTGAAAATGGACTGAACAGGATCGTACGGAATTGGAGTTGAAAGAAGGGAATTAAAACCTGACTCGACTCATACCAATTCTGGGCTCATGTTTGAAGGCGACAGAAGAATCAGTCAGTGATGGATCAGTAACGGATAGATGCGTTTTTTGGGGGATGGTGTGTATGATGGCATGGGATGATGTGTGTGTGAGGGTATGGGATGTGCGTGTGTGTGTGTGTGTGTGATGGTATGGGATGATGTGTGTGTGAGGGTATGGGATGTGCGTGTGTGTGTGTGTGTGTGTGCGTGTGTGTGTGTGTGATGGTATGGGATGATGTGTGTGTGAGGGTATGGGATGTGCGTGCGTGCGTGTGTGTGTGTGTGTGTGTGTGTGTGTCTGTGATGGTATGGGATGGTGTATGTGAGGATATGGGATGTGTGTGTGCGATGGTATGGGATGGTATAGTAATGATGGGAGCAGTAAGGAATGATGGGAGCAGTAAGGAATGGTGGGAGCTGCAAGGAATGATGAGATCAGCCCCTCCACCTGAGAACACACCTCCCCACCACATGGGAACGCACCTGGTCAGTCATGGCATCCCACATGTGCATGGGGTGGTCCTCTGATCTCGCCCTCTGCCGCGCCTCTCTGTGCCGCGCCTCTCTGTGCCGCGCCTCTCTGTGGGGCACAGTGGGAGAAAGGCATCATCCCATGATGTGTGGGATGATGGATTATGTGAGCACACCGTGGAAAGATACATGTGTGCCATGTATGGCATGAATTCGGAGGTTTGATGGCATGGGTTGACGTGTGTGAGTGAGATGGCATGAAATTGTCCGCGTAATGGCATGGGATGGTTTTTGTGACAAGTATAGTGTGTGTGAGAGTGACATGGCATGAAACTAGCTGTCTGATGTCATGGGATGGTGTGTGTGAGTGATATGCATGAAATCGGCTGTGAGATGGTATGGAATGGTGTGTGTGAGTTCATGGCATGAAATCTGCCGTGCCATAGCATGGGATAATTTATGTGAGTGACATGGCCTGATATGACGTATCATGGCATGGGATGATGTGTGTGAGTGAATTGGCATGTGATATGATGTGTGCTGGTATGGGGTGTGAGTGAGATGCCCTGGTATGGGCTGTGCGATGGCATGGGATGGCGTGTGTAAGGCATGCTCGCGCGCGTGTGTCAGAAGCAGGTTTGTTTTGTGCAACCTTCAGGTCGGCAATTTGTGCCTTGACTGAAATTCCATGTGTACACGGAAAATAATAAAAACAAGAAACGCAAAATGAACCTAATATATAATATTTACAAGTGCGTATGGCCCTACTCCTCATCGTTAATGAATTTTCCTGTACCGGGGTTGATAGCGGCGATGAAGAAGAAAGCGATACTGGCGAGCAGCAGCGGCTCCAGCTCCCACACGGGCAAGCCAGTCTCGATATTCAGCTGCGCCAGCGCGCCTCGCCCGCTGATCACCTCGCCCACCAGGCTCGCCGCGAAGCCCAGTTGCGCCATGCGCCCCACGAACAGCTCGTTCGCCTTGGTGAACCCGAACAGCGGCCCGTCGTCGCTCAGCCCCAGCGCCGCCTTGAAGCTCCCCGGCTTCACCGGCGGACCCGCCAGCGCATCGTCGTCCACGAATCGCCCGCGGTCGCCCAGCCCGCCAATGGCGCCGAGCACGGTGAATGCGATGAAGAAGAGCAGCAGCGGCTCGGCTTCCGTGATGGGGATGCCCGTCTCCAGGTTCAGTTGCGAAAGGATTCCCTGCCCGGTTACCGCTTCGCCCAGCAGCGACGCGGCGAATCCGAGCATCGCGACGCGGCCCACGAAGAGCTCGTTGGCCTTCGTGAAGCCGAAGCCGCCGGACGTGCCGAAGATGCCGTCCTCGGTGCGCAGCTGCTTCTTAACGGGGGTGGCCTTAGCGGGGACGGCGGCTTTGTTGAAGCCGAGGAGGGCGGTAACGCCGAGACCGCGGGGGGCAACGGCGGAAAGCGCTGCTAGGCGGGTGGCGGAGAGAGCGGCGCCCTTCACTGCTGCGCTGAAGGAAAGAGATGCGAGCGACTGGTGTGCGACGAGGGCGGACGCCATCGCGTGTATGGAGAGTGTGGTAGCGACGTGGGATGATGAATCAGAAGCTATCGGAGAGCTGGAGATTTGGAGCGATGGAAGAAGAGCTGGTGAGGGTGTGGATTTATTTGTTCGCCGAGACGCGAATCGAATTGAGAATTGGGTGGCGAGAGCTGGACACCACACCGGAAAGTCAACCGAAATTCATTTGGAGACGTGGCTGCCTAAAGAAGGCGCCAAGGTGGTTGGTCCGCATCAGCATTCAACAGATCTGAGACGTGAGCCCGCTGCGTGGCATTTCCATCGCCATCAATCTAGGAACCAGCGGCTGCAACGGACTCCACATCAGATCTCTGAACCAAAAGGCGGAAATGGTCTGACGTGTCGACTAGAAGTGTATTCTGGACCGTGGACCGCCAACTATAGCATCGCAGGCAGGCATTGACCTACTGTGACCTGAATTCTTGGACAGGTTGTTTCGAACACCAAGCCTGGTACTCTTTTGTGTTCTTTCTGGTGCTCTGACAAGAAAAATAATCAGAATGTGCAGGGATTAGTTTCCATAATAGGAGTGGTGTGGTGAAGTGTTCCCGTCTTATTAGTAACTTGACAAAGCAAAACATAGCGCCCGGATTCTACTCAAAGTCTCAACAAAACGACATGCCTGCAGGGGTGTGTAAGCTAGGCATTGAAGAGGGAGCGGAAGGACATGTCCTTCTTGGACGCGCTGGCAGCAGAGGAGTCAGCGAGGGCAAAGATGCGCTTCAGTGCCGTGTTCTGCGACACCGCTGCTGCCGCCGCTGCCGACTGCGCCATGGCTCCCCGCCCCAGCGCTGCCGCCCGCGCTATCATGGCCTCGCGGCTGGCAGCGCTCGTCAGCATGCCTGCTGCCGCAGCGGCAGCAGCGGTGGCCGTGGCAGCTGGGGGAGCGGCAGCAGCCGTGGCAGGTGGTGGGTGAGAGGCAGTGGAGGTGGAGGGTGCAGCGGAGGAAGTGGGGGACTTGGAGGGTGGGGCCTGAGTGGGCGCTGCTGCTCTGAGCTTGGCTGTGAGCGCGTCTAGCAGCGGCTGCTGCTCTGGCTTCTTCACTCCCTGTGGTGGGCGAGGCAGGTGGGGGCGTGTGCGCAGAGGGTGGACGAGGAAACAATGATGGAAGAGGTGGGGGGTGATGATGGTGTGATGCGTACAGTTGGAAAGCCAATGGATATCTTGAGGTCAAGACACTACAGCGATACTACAGTGTGCTAGTTCATTTCAAGCCAATGGATATTTTGAGGTCAAGTGTGCGCAGGGTACGATACGGGGCACACAGCAAGAGTGCCACCCATTGGGGGGGCGGCTCACCTTGAGGTCGAGTGTGCGCAGGAAGTCAGCAGCAGAGCCGTCGGGCAGCAGCGTGCGGTATGTGTCCACCAGGTTCTCCTGTGGCGCTAGCACCACCTGGTGGGAGGAAGGGGGGGGAGAGAGGGGTGATGGTGTATGCATGCCACAACAGAGGCGCAGGAGTGGGATGGAGGCAGGGCGTGAGTGAGAGGGAGCACCGCCAGCATGGCAATGGCAGTACTACAATGGAACAGAGCCAAGCATTGCAGTGGGAAGACGCATAGCAGGCAGGGAGGGCAGGGCAGGAGCAGCGATGAGTGATGGTCTGACATTCCCATCTCACCTTGAGCAGCGCCTCTGATCGCCCCATCTCACCTTGAGCAGCAACTCTGATCGCCCCATCTCACCTTGAGCAGCGCCTCTGATCGCCCCATCTCACCTTGAGCAGCGCCTCTGATCGCCCCATCTCACCTTGAGCAGCGCCTCTGATCGCCCCATCTCACCTTGAGCAGCGCCTCTGATCGCCCCATCTCACCTTGAGCAGCGCCTCTGATCGCCCCATCTCACCTTGAGCAGCGCCTCTGATCGCCCCATCTCACCTTGAGCAGCGCCTCTGATCGCCCCATCTCACCTTGAGCAGCGCCTCTGATCGCCCCATCTCACCTTGAGCAGCGCCTCTGATCGCCCCATCTCACCTTGAGCAGCGCCTCTGATCGCCCCATCTCACCTTGAGCAGCGCCTCTGATCGCCCCATCTCACCTTGAGCAGCGCCTCTGATCGCCCCATCTCACCTTGAGCAGCGCCTCTGATCGCCCCATCTCACCTTGAGCAGCGCCTCTGATCGCCCCATCTCACCTTGAGCAGCGCCTCTGATCGCCCCATCTCACCTTGAGCAGCGCCTCTGATCGCCCCATCTCACCTTGAGCAGCGCCTCTGATCGCCCCATCTCACCTTGAGCAGCGCCTCTGATCGCCCCATCTCACCTTGAGCAGCGCCTCTGATCACCCCATCTCACCTTGAGCAGCGCCTCTGATCGCCCCATCTCACCTTGAGCAGCGCCTCTGATCGCCCCATCTCACCTTGAGCAGCGCCTCTGATCGCCCCATCTCACCTTGAGCAGCGCCTCCGATCGCCCCATCTCACCTTGAGCAGCGCCTCCGATCGCCCCATCTCACCTTGAGCAGCGCCTCTGATCGCCCCATCTCGCGCGTCACATACTTGCTGTACGCTGCTGTGGCCGCCTGCACGAGGGTACATGGGGGTGAGGGAGGATGCAGAGAGGTCAAAGACGTGCGGTAAGGGGTGAGAAAGGAGTGGTGGGAGAGGGAGAGCATGGTCTGTGTGGCACTGAGATGTGTGGACAGAATCAGCAACAAGAGTGGGAGAAGGGTGCGTGCAGTGGCGGGAGCAGCGCGCATGGTATGGCATGACATGGCATGGCATGACTCACAAGGCCCCCCAGTGCATGGCATGGCATGGCATGGCATGGCATGACTCACAAGGCCCCCCAGAGCATGGTATGGCATGGCATGGCATGGCATGACTCACAAGGCTCCCAGTGCATGGCATGGCATGGCATGACTCACGAGGCCCCCCAGTGCATGGCATGGCATGACTCACGAGGCCCCCCAGTGCATGGCATGGCATGGCATGACTCACGAGGCCCCCCAGTGCAGGCAGCTCGAGCAGAATGGTCTTGATGCCATGCGTGTCCAACAGCATCTGTGAGAGATGGGCAGGGACGTGGGCGCAGTGAGGGTTGGCACAGGGACGACGGGAGGGAGAGATGGACAGAACGAGGGAAATCTGAGAAATGAAATGAACGCAGGGCTTGTGTGAAAGCGACAACATGGGTAAGACAGCAACTTGAGAGGAGCACACAGATTCTTCATCCCATAGCTTACCATCGCGTCGCAGCTGTTCTAGCACCACAAGCCAAGCCATCACAGCATGGCATCACCTGCTGGCATGAGGACATGAGGGCATCACCTGCTGGCATGAGGACATGAGGGCATCACCTGCTGGCATGAGGACATGAGGGCATCACCTGCTGGCATGCGGACATGAGGGGCATCACCTGCTGGCATGAGGACATGAGGGCATCACCTGCTGGCATGCGGACATGAGGGCATCACCTGCTGGCATGCGGACATGAGGGCATCACCTGCTGGCATGCGGACATGAGGGCATCACCTGCTGGCATGCGGACATGAGGGCATCACCTGCTGGCATGCGGACATGAGGGCATCACCTGCTGGCATGCGGACATGAGGGCATCACCTGCTGGCATGCGGACATGAGGGCATCACCTGCTGGCATGCGGACATGAGGGCATCACCTGCTGGCATGCGGACATGAGGGCATCACCTGCTGGCATGCGGACATGAGGGCATCACCTGCTGGCATGCGGACATGAGGGCATCACCTGCTGGCATGCGGACATGAGGGCATCACCTGCTGGCATGCGGACATGAGGGCATCACCTGCTGGCATGCGGACATGAGGGCATCACCTGCTGGCATGCGGACATGAGGGCATCACCTGCTGGCATGCGGACATGAGGGCATCACCTGCTGGCATGCGGACATGAGGGCATCACCTGCTGGCATGCGGACATGAGGGCATCACCTGCTGGCATGCGGACATGAGGGCATCACCTGCTGGCATGCGGACATGAGGGCATCACCTGCTGGCATGCGGACATGAGGGCATCACCTGCTGGCATGCGGACATGAGGGCATCACCTGCTGGCATGCGGACATGAGGGCATCACCTGCTGGCATGAGGACATGAGGGCATCACCTGCTGGCATGCGGACATGAGGGCATCACCTGCTGGCATGCGGACATGAGGGCATCACCTGCTGGCATGCGGACATGAGGGCATCACCTGCTGGCATGCGGACATGAGGGCATCACCTGCTGGCATGCAGACATGAGGGCATCACCTGCTGGCATGCGGACATGAGGGCATCACCTGCTGGCATGCGGACATGAGGGCATCACCTGCTGGCATGCGGACATGAGGGCATCACCTGCTGGCATGCGGACATGAGGGCATCACCTGCTGGCATGCGGACATGAGGGCATCACCTGCTGGCATGCGGACATGAGGGCATCACCTGCTGGCATGCGGACATGAGGGCATCACCTGCTGGCATGCGGACATGAGGGCATCACCTGCTGGCATGCGGACATGAGGGCATCACCTGCTGGCATGCGGACATGAGGGCATCACCTGCTGTGCACCGGTGCCGGAGAGGCGTTTGGCCTTGAAGACCGTGGCGTAGTAGCGCGGCCCGAACGATGCTGCCAGCTGGCGCTCACGGTGGAGGGTAGACGTGATGGCGAAGGGAGTTGGGGAGATTGGGGGAGAACGAGGGGAACACGCAAAGGAGGAGACGTGAGCAAGGGGCACGCCAGGGCCGGGTTGGGACAAGGTGGAGTTGAGTGGTGGCGAGGCGATGTGCGGTGGGGTCATGTGCCTCGCAAAGGTGCTCTTATGGAGTGACTAAGTGCAATCACTGCGCACTGCAGTTCACGCGCCACTTACACCCGTTCCTTGATTCAGACACCCGCATATAGTCAACCCCGCATGTGATAGTGCACACACGCTGCATCCCAGCAGACACAAAGGTACATAGTCTGGCAATGCACAGAGGCGGGAAGAGCACCTTATGGAGGCAGAGGGGCGCACCTTATCGAGGAAGAAGTGGAAGTGCAGCGGCGAGAGCAGCCCTGCCAGCATGGGGATGGAGTTGGAGAATATGGCGCTCAGGTTGTTCACGAACCTGCTCTCGGAGAGAGGAACGAAGGGGGGATGACGGGGCGGGAGGGATGGAGAGGAGGAGAGGGGGGAATTGTGGTGGATAAAGGGGTGGGCAGCATGTGAGGATGAGTCACTAGCAGTTGCTGGGAGCACAAACGACACCCCCCCCTGTGCAGCCCGTTCCTGTGCCCCGCGCTGCTGGTCACACTCAATGTATCTCGCCACACTGCCCTGCTCTCTGCCAACGCTGCACACACATGCCGCACCCGCACGCCACCCATCCACCACACGATCACACAGCACGGCTGCAGCAGCAGCAGTGCCACGTGGCTCACTCGGATTGGTCGCCCACGGACTCCAGCGTGCCCCAGGGCATGCGGGCCATGCGGTCCAGTTCGCCCTCCAGCCGCCCCTCCAGCCCCGCCACCAGCACTGCCAGCGCACGCGTTATGGCAACCGAAAACTCCTCCTGCCACGTGGCAGCATGGGAGGAAGCCCGGGGTGCGGGTGGGAGGGAGTGGATGGGGCGAAAAGGTCGAGCTTACACATCATGCCAGCAACACCGCCAGCGGCCGTGTGATGGCACGTGAAAACTCCTCCTGCCCATGCCATGAGAGGACACCATGGCAAACAGCAGTGCATGGAGCACAGGGGGTGACTGGGTGGCAGGCAGCATGGTGAGGTGAGGAAGAAGCACGAGGAAGTGCATTGTGTATGTTTGGTTGGAGACGTTTTGAGAACTTTTGTAGTTGTTAAAAAATAGCATATACTACCACATACAAGAAGTACCAACTTGTGTACACAAACGCACATGGCAGGGGGGTAGTGCATCGACCACTAGAGCCGTCCTTCCCCACGCACATCTTCCTTCATCCCCACGTGTTCCTCCTTCCCCCCTCCCACCTGCCTTCACCCCCTCCAGCCAACTCCTCTTCCTCACACGCATTTCTTCCTGTCTCCCTCCCCACCCCCCTCTCCCCCCACCTGCTCATCGCTGATGTCAACAGAGCCCACCAGCGCCGCATCGATGCGGTTCGCCACACTCTCCGCCAGCTGTGCTGCCTGCCATGGGGGCGACACGTGGAGGGGGCGAGAGGGTGGGGAGATACAGGCGTGAGAGGTGTGGGTGCATGCACGCACCATGGAGCAGTCGTGCCAGTGACCGGCACTTGTGCACTCCCTGCCTGCTGTGCAGCCCACCAAGGAGAGACGAGGCAGGGGGGAAGAGGGGATGGGGGGAGGAGAGAGGGAAGGGAGGTGGCTTGGAAAGGGGCACAAGGGAGACGAGTGGGTGGCTACGAGAAGTGGTTGTAACAAGAGGGAAGAGGAATGGAGGAATTGTAAAGGGAAGAGAGAATCAAGAGATGCACGAGAAAAGAGACTCACAGTCTCGTGGCAATACTCGGCTGTGTTGATGATATAGCACACCACTCGCTCATCCTTCTCCGTCATCTGTGAGCATGGGCACACACGTGCGGGGTAGGCAGAGGCAGACGAGAAGCAGGGCACATAGAAATGAGTGCGACTCGCCTCTTCTTTCCACTCGTAGGTGCAAGCTTGTGTGCAATAGAGAAGGGAAGAATGGGGAGAATGGGAGTGGGCGGGAAGGGAAGGGAAGGAGGAGAGAAGACGAGGGAGCAGCACTGCATTGGCAGGCTGAGGCTGACAGCACATGAACGCCCATGCCTTCTGTAACGACTCTTACCTCCCCACCCACCCCGCCCGCTCCCCGTGGTCGTCCCCACTCGCATGCCAACTTGCCCCGCCTTCTCATCCCCACCGTGCTCTCCTTGCCTCCTTGGCCCTTCCCCCGCCATACCCCCATGCGCCTCACCCTCCCCCCGTGCGCCTCACCCTCCCCCCGTGCGCCTCACCCTCCCCCCGTGCGCCTCACCCTCCCCCCGTGCGCCTCACCCTCCTCCCATGCGCCTCACCCTACCCCTCGCCTCACCTTGACTTGCCACTCGCCGCCTGCGGTGGGCTGGGCAGCGCGGGGCAGGCGGGCGCTGAGGCGCGCGGCGTACTGCCGCAGCACACGCTTGAACACCTGGGGGGGGAGGGGAGGGGGGAGATGGGGATGGGGGAGGGGGTGACACGGATGAAAATTGTGTGAGTGATGTGCAACACATGCAGCAGGCGCCTCTGGTGCCCACATTGATGATGTAAAGGCGAAGACACGTGGGTTGGGAAGAGGAGAGGACACTGAGGACGCCGAGAAGGAAGGATGACATCAAGCCACATCGCTCTGGGATTACACTATTGTTGGAAGAGGGCTCACCTGGAAGAGGGCTCACCTGGAAGAGGGCTCACCTGGAAGAGGGCTCACCTGGAAGAGGGCTCACCTGGAAGAGGGCTCACCTGGAAGAGGGCTCACCTGGAAGAGGCTGAGCAGCGTTTGCTTTCTGGTGAGCTGGCAGCAGCGGTTGAAACTCTTGCGGATCGCCAAAAACATCTGCGGGCAGGCAGGCAGGTAGGCATGGGCACACAGTCATTGCGGGTGGGATGTATGGAAGATTAGAAGCAGAAACGAATGGAGGACTGAGAACAGCGATTGCAAGACAACCTCCACGCCACCTCACAACGCCCAACTGCGGAAACCCGCTCACCACTGTGCCGCCCTCCCACCTCCCAACTCTGAGCTACCCTCCCACCTCCCACATCTGAGCTACCCTCCCACCTCCCACCTCTGAGCTACCCTCCCACCTCCCACATCTGAGCTACCCTCCCACCTCCCACCTCTGAGCTACCCTCCCACCTCCCACCTCTGAGCTACCCTCCCACCTCCCACCTCTGAGCTACCCTCCCACCTCCCACCTCTGAGCTACCCTCCCACCTCCCACATCTGAGCTACCCTCCCACCTCCCACCTCTGAGCTACCCTCCCACCTCCCACCTCTGAGCTACCCTCCCACCTCCCACATCTGAGCTACCCTCCCACCTCCCACCTCTGAGCTACCCTCCCACCTCCCACCTCTGAGCTACCCTCCCACCTCCCACCTCTGAGCTACCACCTCCCACCTCTGAGCTACCCTCCCACCTCCCACCTCTGAGCTACCCTCCCACCTCCCACCTCTGAGCTACCCTCCCACCTCCCACCTCTGAGCTACCCTCCCACCTCCCACCTCTGAGCTACCCTCCCACCTCCCACCTCTGAGCTACCCTCCCACCTCCCACCTCTGAGCTACCCTCCCACCTCCCACCTCTGAGCTACCCTCCCACCTCCCACCTCTGAGCTACCCTCCCACCTCCCACCTCTGAGCTACCCTCCCACCTCCCACCTCTGAGCTACCCTCCCACCTCCCACCTCTGAGCTACCCTCCCACCTCCCACCTCTGAGCTACCCTCCCACCTCCCACCTCTGAGCTACCCTCCCACCTCCCACATCTGAGCTACCCTCCCACCTCCCACCTCTGAGCTACCCTCCCACCTCCCACCTCTGAGCTACCCTCCCACCTCCCACCTCTGAGCTACCCTCCCACCTCCCACCTCTGAGCTACCCTCCCACCTCCCACCTCTGAGCTACCCTCCCACCTCCCACCTCTGAGCTACCCTCCCACCTCCCACCTCTGAGCTACCCTCCCACCTCCCACCTCTGAGCTACCCTCCCACCTCCCACCTCTGAGCTACCCTCCCACCTCCCACCTCTGAGCTACCCTCCCACCTCCCACCTCTGAGCTACCCTCCCACCTCCCACATCTGAGCTACCCTCCCACCTCCCACCTCTGAGCTACCCTCCCACCTCCCACCTCTGAGCTACCCTCCCACCTCCCACCTCTGAGCTACCCTCCCACCTCCCAACTCTGAGCTACCCTCCCACCTCCCACATCTGAGCTACCCTCTCACCTCCCACCTCTGAGCTACCCTCCCACCTCCCACCTCTGAGCTACCCTCCCACCTCCCACATCTGAGCTACCCTCTCACCTCCCACCTCTGAGCTACCCTCCCACCTCCCACCTCTGAGCTACCCTCCCACCTCCCACCTCTGAGCTACCCTCCCACCTCCCACCTCTGAGCTACCCTCCCACCTCCCACATCTGAGCTACCCTCCCACCTCCCACCTCTGAGCTACCCTCCCACCTCCCACCTCTGAGCTACCCTCCCACCTCCCACCTCTGAGCTACCCTCCCACCTCCCACCTCTGAGGTACCCTCCCACCTCCCACCTCTGAGCTACCCTCCCACCTCCCACCTCTGAGCTACCCTCCCACCTCCCACCTCTGAGCTACCCTCCCACCTCCCACCTCTGAGCTACCCTCCCACCTCCCACCTCTGAGCTACCCTCCCACCTCCCACATCTGAGCTACCCTCTCACCTCCCACCTCTGAGCTACCCTCCCACCTCCCACCTCTGAGCTACCCTCCCACCTCCCACATCTGAGCTACCCTCTCACCTCCCACCTCTGAGCTACCCTCCCACCTCCCACCTCTGAGCTACCCTCCCACCTCCCACCTCTGAGCTACCCTCCCACCTCCCACCTCTGAGCTACCCTCCCACCTCCCACCTCTGAGCTACCCTCCCACCTCCCACCTCTGAGCTACCCTCCCACCTCCCACCTCTGAGGTACCCTCCCACCTCCCACCTCTGAGCTACCCTCCCACCTCCCACCTCTGAGCTACCCTCCCACCTCCCACCTCTGAGCTACCCTCCCACCTCCCACCTCTGAGCTACCCTCCCACCTCCCACCTCTGAGCTACCCTCCCACCTCCCACATCTGAGCTACCCTCTCACCTCCCACCTCTGAGCTACCCTCCCAACTCCCACCTCTGAGCTACCCTCCCACCTCCCACATCTGAGCTACCCTCTCACCTCCCACCTCTGAGCTACCCTCCCACCTCCCACCTCTGAGCTACCCTCCCACCTCCCACCTCTGAGCTACCCTCCCACCTCCCACCTCTGAGCTACCCTCCCACCTCCCACCTCTGAGGTACCCTCCCACCTCCCACCTCTGAGCTACCCTCCCACCTCCCACCTCTGAGCTACCCTCCCACCTCCCACCTCTGAGCTACCCTCCCACCTCCCACCTCTGAGCTACCCTCCCACCTCCCACCTCTGAGCTACCCTCCCACCTCCCACCTCTGAGCTACCCTCCCACCTCCCACCTCTGAGCTACCCTCCCACCTCCCACCTCTGAGCTACCCTCCCACCTCCCACCTCTGAGCTACCCTCCCACCTCCCACCTCTGAGCTACCCTCCCACCTCCCACCTCTGAGCTACCCTCCCACCTCCCACCTCTGAGCTACCCTCCCACCTCCCACCTCTGAGCTACCCTCCCACCTCCCACCTCTGAGCTACCCTCCCACCTCCCACCTCTGAGGTACCCTCCCACCTCCCACCTCTGAGCTACCCTCCCACCTCCCACCTCTGAGCTACCCTCCCACCTCCCACCTCTGAGCTACCCTCCCACCTCCCACCTCTGAGCTACCCTCCCACCTCCCACATCTGAGCTACCCTCTCACCTCCCACCTCTGAGCTACCCTCCCACCTCCCACCTCTGAGCTACCCTCCCACCTCCCACATCTGAGCTACCCTCTCACCTCCCACCTCTGAGCTACCCTCCCACCTCCCACCTCTGAGCTACCCTCCCACCTCCCACATCTGAGCTACCCTCCCACCTCCCACCTCTGAGCTACCCTCCCACCTCCCACCTCTGAGCTACCCTCCCACCTCCCACCTCTGAGCTACCCTCCCACCTCCCACATCTGAGCTACCCTCCCACCTCCCACCTCTGAGCTACCCTCCCACCTCCCACATCTGAGCTACCCTCCCACCTCCCACCTCTGAGCTACCCTCCCACCTCCCACCTCTGAGCTACCCTCCCACCTCCCACCTCTGAGCTACCCTCCCACCTCCCACCTCTGAGCTACCCTCCCACCTCCCACCTCTGAGCTACCCTCCCACCTCCCACCTCTGAGCTACCCTCCCACCTCCCACCTCTGAGCTACCCTCCCACCTCCCACCTCTGAGCTACCCTCCCACCTCCCACCTCTGAGCTACCCTCCCACCTCCCACCTCTGAGCTACCCTCCCACCTCCCACCTCTGAGCTACCCTCCCACCTCCCACCTCTGAGCTACCCTCCCACCTCCCACCTCTGAGCTACCCTCCCACCTCCCACCTCTGAGCTACCCTCCCACCTCCCACCTCTGAGCTACCCTCCCACCTCCCACCTCTGAGCTACCCTCCCACCTCCCACCTCTGAGCTACCCTCCCACCTCCCACCTCTGAGCTACCCTCCCACCTCCCACCTCTGAGCTACCCTCCCACCTCCCACCTCTGAGCTACCCTCCCACCTCCCACCTCTGAGCTACCCTCCCACCTCCCACCTCTGAGCTACCCTCCCACCTCCCACCTCTGAGCTACCCTCCCACCTCCCACCTCTGAGCTACCCTCCCACCTCCCACATCTGAGCTACCCTCCCACCTCCCACCTCTGAGCTACCCTCCCACCTCCCACCTCTGAGCTACCCTCCCGCCTCCCACCTCTGAGCTACCCTCCCACCTCCCACCTCTGAGCTACCCTCCCACCTCCCACCTCTGAGCTACCCTCCCACCTCCCACCTCTGAGCTACCCTCCCACCTCCCACCTCTGAGCTACCCTCCCACCTCCCACCTCTGAGCTACCCTCCCACCTCCCACCTCTGAGCTACCCTCCCACCTCCCACCTCTGAGCTACCCTCCCACCTCCCACCTCTGAGCTACCCTCCCACCTCCCACCTCTGAGCTACCCTCCCACCTCCCACCTCTGAGCTACCCTCCCACCTCCCACCTCTGAGCTACCCTCCCACCTCCCACCTCTGAGCTACCCTCCCACCTCCCACCTCTGAGCTACCCTCCCACCTCCCACCTCTGAGCTACCCTCCCACCTCCCACCTCTGAGCTACCCTCCCACCTCCCACCTCTGAGCTACCCTCCCACCTCCCACCTCTGAGCTACCCTCCCACCTCCCACATCTGAGCTACCCTCCCACCTCCCACCTCTGAGCTACCCTCCCACCTCCCACCTCTGAGCTACCCTCCCACCTCCCACCTCTGAGCTACCCTCCCACCTCCCACATCTGAGCTACCCTCCCACCTCCCACCTCTGAGCTACCCTCCCACCTCCCACCTCTGAGCTACCCTCCCACCTCCCACATCTGAGCTACCCTCCCACCTCCCACCTCTGAGCTACCCTCCCACCTCCCACCTCTGAGCTACCCTCCCACCTCCCACCTCTGAGCTACCCTCCCACCTCCCACCTCTGAGCTACCCTCCCACCTCCCACCTCTGAGCTACCCTCCCACCTCCCACCTCTGAGCTACCCTCCCACCTCCCACCTCTGAGCTACCCTCCCACCTCCCACCTCTGAGCTACCCTCCCACCTCCCACCTCTGAGCTACCCTCCCACCTCCCACCTCTGAGCTACCCTCCCACCTCCCACCTCTGAGCTACCCTCCCACCTCCCACATCTGAGCTACCCTCCCACCTCCCACCTCTGAGCTACCCTCCCACCTCCCACCTCTGAGCTACCCTCCCACCTCCCACATCTGAGCTACCCTCCCACCTCCCACCTCTGAGCTACCCTCCCACCTCCCACATCTGAGCTACCCTCCCACCTCCCACCTCTGAGCTACCCTCCCACCTCCCACCTCTGAGCTACCCTCCCACCTCCCACCTCTGAGCTACCCTCCCACCTCCCACCTCTGAGCTACCCTCCCACCTCCCACCTCTGAGCTACCCTCCCACCTCCCACCTCTGAGGTACCCTCCCACCTCCCACCTCTGAGCTACCCTCCCACCTCCCACCTCTGAGCTACCCTCCCACCTCCCACCTCTGAGCTACCCTCCCACCTCCCACCTCTGAGCTACCCTCCCACCTCCCACCTCTGAGCTACCCTCCCACCTCCCACATCTGAGCTACCCTCTCACCTCCCACCTCTGAGCTACCCTCCCACCTCCCACCTCTGAGCTACCCTCCCACCTCCCACATCTGAGCTACCCTCTCACCTCCCACCTCTGAGCTACCCTCCCACCTCCCACCTCTGAGCTACCCTCCCACCTCCCACCTCTGAGCTACCCTCCCACCTCCCACCTCTGAGCTACCCTCCCACCTCCCACCTCTGAGCTACCCTCCCACCTCCCACCTCTGAGCTACCCTCCCACCTCCCACCTCTGAGGTACCCTCCCACCTCCCACCTCTGAGCTACCCTCCCACCTCCCACCTCTGAGCTACCCTCCCACCTCCCACCTCTGAGCTACCCTCCCACCTCCCACCTCTGAGCTACCCTCCCACCTCCCACCTCTGAGCTACCCTCCCACCTCCCACATCTGAGCTACCCTCTCACCTCCCACCTCTGAGCTACCCTCCCAACTCCCACCTCTGAGCTACCCTCCCACCTCCCACATCTGAGCTACCCTCTCACCTCCCACCTCTGAGCTACCCTCCCACCTCCCACCTCTGAGCTACCCTCCCACCTCCCACCTCTGAGCTACCCTCCCACCTCCCACCTCTGAGCTACCCTCCCACCTCCCACATCTGAGCTACCCTCCCACCTCCCACCTCTGAGCTACCCTCCCACCTCCCACCTCTGAGCTACCCTCCCACCTCCCACCTCTGAGCTACCCTCCCACCTCCCACCTCTGAGCTACCCTCCCACCTCCCACCTCTGAGCTACCCTCCCACCTCCCACCTCTGAGCTACCCTCCCACCTCCCACCTCTGAGCTACCCTCCCACCTCCCACCTCTGAGCTACCCTCCCACCTCCCACCTCTGAGCTACCCTCCCACCTCCCACCTCTGAGCTACCCTCCCACCTCCCACCTCTGAGCTACCCTCCCACCTCCCACCTCTGAGCTACCCTCCCACCTCCCACCTCTGAGCTACCCTCCCACCTCCCACCTCTGAGCTACCCTCCCACCTCCCACCTCTGAGCTACCCTCCCACCTCCCACCTCTGAGCTACCCTCCCACCTCCCACCTCTGAGCTACCCTCCCACCTCCCACCTCTGAGCTACCCTCCCACCTCCCACCTCTGAGCTACCCTCCCACCTCCCACATCTGAGCTACCCTCCCACCTCCCACCTCTGAGCTACCCTCCCACCTCCCACCTCTGAGCTACCCTCCCACCTCCCACCTCTGAGCTACCCTCCCACCTCCCACCTCTGAGCTACCCTCCCACCTCCCACCTCTGAGCTACCCTCCCACCTCCCACCTCTGAGCTACCCTCCCACCTCCCACCTCTGAGCTACCCTCCCACCTCCCACCTCTGAGCTACCCTCCCACCTCCCACCTCTGAGCTACCCTCCCACCTCCCACCTCTGAGCTACCCTCCCACCTCCCACCTCTGAGCTACCCTCCCACCTCCCACCTCTGAGCTACCCTCCCACCTCCCACCTCTGAGCTACCCTCCCACCTCCCACCTCTGAGCTACCCTCCCACCTCCCACCTCTGAGCTACCCTCCCACCTCCCACATCTGAGCTACCCTCCCACCTCCCACCTCTGAGCTACCCTCCCACCTCCCACCTCTGAGCTACCCTCCCACCTCCCACCTCTGAGCTACCCTCCCACCTCCCACCTCTGAGCTACCCTCCCACCTCCCACCTCTGAGCTACCCTCCCACCTCCCACCTCTGAGCTACCCTCCCACCTCCCACCTCTGAGCTACCCTCCCACCTCCCACCTCTGAGCTACCCTCCCACCTCCCACCTCTGAGCTACCCTCCCACCTCCCACATCTGAGCTACCCTCCCACCTCCCACCTCTGAGCTACCCTCCCACCTCCCACCTCTGAGCTACCCTCCCACCTCCCACATCTGAGCTACCCTCCCACCTCCCACCTCTGAGCTACCCTCCCACCTCCCACCTCTGAGCTACCCTCCCACCTCCCACCTCTGAGCTACCCTCCCACCTCCCACCTCTGAGCTACCCTCCCACCTCCCACCTCTGAGCTACCACCTCCCACCTCTGAGCTACCCTCCCACCTCCCACATCTGAGCTACCCTCCCACCTCCCACCTCTGAGCTACCCTCCCACCTCCCACCTCTGAGCTACCCTCCCACCTCCCACATCTGAGCTACCCTCCCACCTCCCACCTCTGAGCTACCCTCCCACCTCCCACCTCTGAGCTACCCTCCCACCTCCCACCTCTGAGCTACCCTCCCACCTCCCACCTCTGAGCTACCCTCCCACCTCCCACCTCTGAGCTACCCTCCCACCTCCCACCTCTGAGCTACCCTCCCACCTCCCACCTCTGAGCTACCCTCCCACCTCCCACATCTGAGCTACCCTCTCACCTCCCACCTCTGAGCTACCCTCCCAACTCCCACCTCTGAGCTACCCTCCCACCTCCCACATCTGAGCAACCCTCCCACCTCGGAGCTGCTGCGCAGGATGTTGGTTTGGCTGCCCTCCTCCGCCTCCCATGTCTCCTCCTGCCGTGACTCATGCACCACACGGCACACGCAGCATACACCCCCATGCCCCACGTCCATGCATCAGGCATCATGCCATGCCATGCCCCATGTCATAACCCATGCACCATGCACCATCAGAGAAAACGAAAATCAGGGAATTCGATGAGCAAAAGTTTTCGACCCTGCTCTCACCTGTTTGCAACACCATCACCCGCACTCCATATCACATACATCAGTCATCACCTGCACGTGTTTTCACCTGCACCAGTTACCACTTGCACAAGTTATCGCCTGCACCGATTATCACCTGCACCGGTTATCACCTGCACCGGTTATCACCTGCACGAGTTATCACCTGCACGAGTTATCACCTGCACGAGTTGTCACCTGCACCAGTTATCACCTGCACCAGTTATCACCTGCACCAGTTATCACCTGCACCAGTTATCACCTGCCCCAGTTATCACCTGCACAAGTTATCACCTGCACCAGTTATCACCTGCACCAGTTATCACCTGCACGAGCTTGTCGAGTGTGTCCGCCAGAGTGCGCTCCTCGAGGTCCACATACACCCCCAGGTGCGGCTCAAAGCACGATGAGATGGCGCCCTGGAACTCAAACTGCCATGTGAGGGCGGGGGGGAGTGAGGGGCCGAGGCGGTAGCACATAGCAGGCAATGAGGAGTTGGAAGAGTGTGAGAGTCCTCTCCTTCAATGAGGAGTTGGAAGAGTGTGAGAGTCCTCTCCTCCAATGAGGAGTTGGAAGAGTGTGAGAGTGCTCTCCTCCAATGAGGAGTTGGAAGAGTGTGAGAGTGCTCTCCTCCAATGAGGAGTTGGAAGAGTGTGAGAGTGCTCTCCTCCAATGAGGAGTTGGAAGAGTGTGAGAGTGCTCTCCTCCAATGAGGAGTTGGAAGAGTGTGAGAGTGCTCTCCTCCAATGAGGAGTTGGAAGAGTGTGAGAGTGCTCTCCTCCAATGAGGAGTTGGAAGAGTGTGAGAGTGCTCTCCTCCACATCCCACCTACACCCCCCAGTGCGCCTCAAAGCACGGCGAGATGGCCCCCTGGAACTCAAACTGATGAAGCGAGGGGGAGGGAGCAAGGCAGCAGCACATAGCGGGCAAGGAGGAGTTGGAAAAATGAGACTGAAATGAATGGATGATGGATAGGCGAAAACGTGAGCTGACCAATCACAAACCTACGGCATCAGGCTGGCCGGGCGAAAACAACAACCCAACTTGAACCAGCCCAGACCTGGTCTGACAGCGACAGTGGGCGACTAGTTTGAGTCTTGCCGGCTCGAGTTCGACTGGTGCTCAAGCCCCCTCCACACACACCCTCCTTGCTTCGTTCCCTCCCACTCTCTAAAAAGCTCTCCTGGCAAGCCCCCTCTCCCACACCTTCTTTCTTCCTCTCCCTGCTCCTCCCCTCCCTCCCTCCCGCCCGCCCACCACACTGACCTCCACATCAGCGGCGCCAGCAGCAGCGGCGGCGGCGGCAGGGGTGGAGGAGGGCGAGGCAGCGGCCGCGGCAGGCGCGGGGGGGAAGCGCTTGGCCAGGTCGTCCTCAAACTCCAACGTGCGCTCCAACGCCTGCCAGCGGGTGGAGGGGAGGGGGAGGCGGAGGGGGAAGGGGGTGGGGGGAGGAGGTGGCATGGCGAGGACTAGCGGACGTGGCGAGGTGGCATGTGCAGCGAGGAGGGAAGAGAGTGCAGGAAAGAGGGACGGGTAAGAGATGCTGATTACTTGAGCATGTTGGATCGATGCCACCGTGCTCTCAGAGTCAGTACACTCGTAGCTGGACTTCGCAAAGAGAAATCTTGTCTCCCTCAAACGCTACAAGCACCAGCTAGAATCAGCACCATTTAACTGCTATAACCTGCACCAGGTATGACCTGCACTGGGTATGACCTGCAAGAGAGTGGTGACATCGGGTCTGTCCTTGGATCCATCAAGCTGCTCCTTCAACTGCGCCCTGCATGCTCCGTGCCACGCCATGCCAGACCATGCCATGCCATGCCATGCCATGCCATGCCATGCCATGCCATGCCATGCCATGCCATGCCATGCCATGCCATGCCATCCCACACCATGCGAATGCACACATTCGAGGTGAGTGAGAAGGCCATTAGCAAGCAAGCACAATGGAAAAGGAATCACGAGAAGCAGGCGCAAGAGATTGCACGGGTAGCGTGGTTGCGGTGGGCCACACACAGCGACATCTAAGCTCATGCCCACCCATGCCACACAGCCACCCACCGGGTGATGCGGCAGAACTGCGAGCAGAGCAGGCGCTGCACGTGCCAGGCGGGTGGGAAGATGCGCCACACGTCCTCGTTCAGCTTCATCTGCCGCTTCACCCACACGTACCGCCTCTCCACCTTGTCCAACCGCGCCACATCTGGTAGGTGGGGAGGGGCCCAGGGAAGAGAGGGTGAGGGGGAGAGGGGGAGGAGAGAGGCAGTCACCCAGGGACGGCAGTGGGGCGGACAGAAGGGTGGCGCACGGTAATAGAGGCGCGAGTGGAAGAAAAGAAAACCCAACAATTTACAGAATGACCAAGTGAGAGTGGAAGGGAGCAGCACCGACCCGTGCCCTGGAAGATCTGCTGGTACTGACCCGTGCCCTGGAAGATCTGCTGGTACGCGGTGAGCTCCTTGCTGCACACGCTGCGCACGAGCTCGTCCCGCGCGTGCCCCTCGCCGTCCAGCGCCGCCACCACGAGACACGCGTCCGCCAGCTGCTGCATCACCTGCCCGTTCTCCCTCATCACTGGCGTGCCCAGGCTGGGAGGGGGGAGAAGAGGTGCGGGGGGGGGGGGGAGGAGAAGGTGGGGCGGATGCAAGTGATGGGCAGCAGAAGCGAGGAGAGCAGTGAGCAGCAGTGATCCACAAGAGGCGCTCCAGGCACGTTTCGTGGCACGCATGCGCAGTGCAGAAAGCACAGCATGGCAGATGGGTGGACGATGCATAAGATAGCATGAGAGGGTACGCATGGAGCAACGGAAAGGCAAGCGTGTTGAACAAGAGCAATGCTGCAAGATGCACGTCAGCGCGTTGACGAGGCAGGGAGGGGGGGGGTGGGGGGGGGAGGGAAGGGAAGGGGGGATTGGCGGGACGTGGAGAAATCGGAGAAGATGTGCGAGTGAGGGCGGTGTGGAGCGCCATGAGCCATGTAGAGCAGACAAGCAGCAGGCACAAAGATACTGTGGAGAAGACCCAAAAGCAGTGGTTGATTGCATGGGGGCGCACGTGGAGAAGTCGGAGAAGATGTGGGACTTGAGCGTGGCGTTGAGCGCCGCCACCCGCCCCTGCAGCTCGGCGATCTTGGGGATGTCTCTGTACGCCTCAAAGTGCGCCAGTAGCTGTGTCACCGCCTGCAGGGAGGGGAGTGAAGAGGGTGGGGAGAGAGGGAGGGGGAAGGTTGGGCCATGGAGAGGAAGGTTGCGGTAGGGGAGGGAAAGAGGCATGGAGATGCGACGCACTTCGCATGGTTGGTGTGGGTTGAGGTGCGGTGCGGGCGAGTGAAGGAGGCCATGCCATGGTGAGCGAGGAAGGCATGTCAGGCGTGCTGTGTGCATGTAGGCGCAAGTGCGCAAATCTAAGGCAGGCAACGTAGCTCCCACGGTGAACAACGTGGCAGGCGAGGTGAACAACGTGGCACACACAGGTGTGCTAAGGACGGGCGAGGATGGGGCGGAGGAGCAAAGCAAAGCGGAGGTGGAGGGACAGGCACGCAGGTGTGGGGTGGGAGGGGGTGGTAGGACAAAGGGCATGGCAGGGTGGGGGAGAGGGAGAGAAGGACAGGCCAACAGCTCCATTCTCAGGATCAGTCTTCCCACCCAGCCCAGACAGGCCCCCCACTTGCACTCACTCGAGGCTTCCTAGACTCCCTTTGTTCTGTAAAGCTGTCACATGGCAAAACACTTACCATGCGGCCCCACAACCCCCTTGCCCACGCCACATCACACAACACCACTCCGAAGCACAGCACGGCACCCCACCTGCAGCTGGTCGGCAGCGTCGCGGTACTGGCGGTTGGCAGCCAGGGCCTGCAGACGATCCACCGCAAACACTGCCGGGGGGGAAGGGGAGGGGAAAGGTCGGCGGCATGCAGAGGCAAGGGACGGTTTGGATCATTCAGAACCAGAGGCGTACTGTACCCCCTCCCAGCATGAACCCGCCGGCATGCCATTTCCCCAGCATGCCAGCAGAGAGGCGTTCGTATGAGGCGCACCGAGCATGGCGAGGCGGTTGAGGGCGGTGATGGTGGCGGTGATGTGCTTCTTGGCGCAGTCGAGCTTCTTTATGTCGCGGCATATCTCCTGCACCATCACCTCGCTCTGCTCCGCCTTCGCCTTTATAGCCCTCATCTTCACCCACAGCTCCTGGGGGGGGGAGACGGGGTGGAGAAGGGGGAGGGGGAGGGGGAGGGGGAAGGGGGGAGAGATGCGCGGCGCATGGCAGGGGCGTTCCAGAGAGTAGAAGACAATGTTGGGGGAAGGCGGAGGAGAATGGGCAGAAAAGGAGGGTGGTGGGCAGCGCCACACGGGGCAGAGCGGTGTGGGGTGGGGGGGTGAGTTGATTATGGAAGCAACATGGGAGGACACATGCTTTCTCCCCTCCCATCCCATCCCCTCCCCTCCCCTCCCCTCCCCTCCCCTCCCCTCCCATCCCCTCCCACCCATCCCATCCCATCCCAGCCCAGCCCATCCCATCCCATCCCACCCATGCAATGGCATGCATGCATGCACCCGAGGGCGCACCTCAATGGCGCGCATGGAGGCTGCCAGGTCGTCCTTGGCTTGCGACCCTGACGTGCTCTGCCATGCCATGCCATGCCATGCCATGCAAAAAAAATCGTATGCCATGACATGCATTATGCACCGCACATCACATGCCATGCCATTCACATGATGACATGCGACAGCATGTGATACGATAACATGCCATGCCATGCCACGTAACGTAATGCACAACAGCTATGCATGTGAGTGAAAGCATGCATCTTTCATAGAACGCTGATAGTTGTTCGAATCAACCCGATGCCCAGATGTGTCATCTCTTTCTATTCTGCCGCACTGGTTCAACTGCTGCCCTGTATGCTTCATCTGCTGTCCCATTATCCCCCCAGCTGCCCCGAATTCTTTCATCAGCAGCTCTGAATGTTTCAGCTGCAGCCCACCCTGTTTGACCTGTCGTCCCACCAGCGTCGCCTTTTGTGTGCATCAGCTGCCCCAGGGCTGCCCAAAACGTTTCATCAGCTGCCCAAACGTTTAATTAGCTGCCCAAACGACTGCCCAAACGTTTAAGCTACTGCCCAAACGTTGCCTCAACTGCCCAAACGTTTCATTAGCTGCCCCTTTTCATTAGCTGCCTGATCAGCCGCCCAAACGTTTCATCAGCTGCCCAAACGTTTCATCAGCTGCCCGAACGTTTCATCAGCTGCCCCAGGGCTGCACCTGCTGGCGGATGGCTCACCTGCTGGCGGATGGCGAGGAGGATCTCGGCGTCGACGCGGCGGATGCGGTTCCTGAGCTTCTGGATGAGCGGATCCACCGCCGCCAACGACGACTCTGCGGGGGGGAGGGGGGACGGGCGGCGAGGGCGGGGTGCGGGTTGGGGGAGAGGAAGGGGAGCATGGGTGCGGGTTGGGGGAGAGGAAGGGGAGCATGGGTGCGACGCGCAGCACGGCGACGGTGTGACGACGACCCCCGCCGCGGAACGCGAGTGGCTGCTGCGCTCGCTGGTTCTAACCGCGCTCGCCGCGGCGGGAGGGGTTCAGAATGGGGGGGGGAGCAGCACCGTTGGGGAAGAGGTGGTTGATGAAGTCGACGGTGTTGAACTCCGGCATGTCCAACGACGCCGGCAGCCGCGCCGCCGCCACCGCCGTGCCGTGCGCCAGCGACTGGCTCTGCGGGTCGGCCGCCATGGCGAGCGCGCGATGCGGAAGGCTCTACTCGGCGTGCGTCGGTGCGTGGTGGAGAAACGGAGCTAATTGCTAACGACGTTTGCGATTCGTGATGCGGCCTGGTGTGCATTGCGATTGCTATCTGAAGGGTGCGGTGGTGGATGAGAGGGGAACGCGTGAGCTTTGGTGATTGTCGCGTGTTACCACGTGGTGGTTACAAATTTCAGTTGTGAAAAAAAAAACACTTTTCCTTATCAGGCTTGTAGTGCATCACATACAACCCCAACTTTCGGAAGGACAGACTCTACCGACTTTCTCAGAGTGGCTGCCTCTCGTCGCCTTCGGTTTTCCATAGCCCAGTCCTGTACCCAACCTTGATCCTCGGACTTCCTGCTTAGCTATAATTGACCGTTGTATTGCAACGTTCATTGTATCGTCAGTTAAGTTGGTCATAGCTTCGGTATTCGTTAATTCCGTGCACTCTGTTTTACAGCTTGACACTTGGTATCAGTGTCAAGAAAGAGAGTACAGCGGAATGATTGAACTAGAAAGGGTTGGGGTACAAGTACTAACCCTGGAATGTGTTGTACCATATACGGTGTGCCCCACAATAGCCTAACAAGCACAATTGCAATTTGACACGCCCCCATAGGCTAAGTGGGGGACAACAAGATGGTCACAAGACCAGTCAAGATAACCAAACAAGGCAAAGCTCAAGATGGATCTCAATATCACCATGCAGTCCGAGCACAAACAAGCGGCCACAAGGCCAGTTCACAGGCAGAGTTATAACAGCAATGGCAGTACACTGATCACAATGTAGCAAGTGAAAATATGCAGGTATACAGATGTATGGCAGTGTACAACAGGGGCAAAGCTAGATCAAGAGACAAGCAAGTGAGGCACAGTGGGCTCAAGCCCAAGAGCACTGCAGAAACGCTGATGATCACCAGACCCGAAGGCCTTGGTGAAGATATCAGCAGTGTTGGCCTGTGAGGCCACGTAAGCAAGGCGAAGCTGACCACGCTGCTGCAGCTCTCGTGTGATTAAGTAACGAAGAGCAATGTGCTTCGTTCTGTGCTCCATTTTCTGCTCCCGACACAAGGCAATCATGGCCTTGTTTTTGACGTACAAAACTGGAGGAGAACGAGGCCGCTCACCCAAGTCAGTCAGCAAGTAGGTCAGCCAGCATAACTCCTGTGCACCTATAGCCCCAGCGTAGATCTCTGCCTCACAACTGGAACTAGTTACAGAAGACGAGCGGGTGGACCTCCACGAGACAGAATCAGTGCCAAGACTGAAAGTGTCACCGTGTGACGAACACTGAGTCTCCTGGTCGTCTGCCCAAGAAGCGTCTGAGTGCCCAGTGAGCACAACTGGACCTTGTCCTCCAAGCACAAGCCCCATGCCTGATGTACTGCACAAGTAACGCAGTGCCCTCTGCGCAACCCTGTAGTGCTCATGGCGGTGCCTCCGGGTGCAACGTAGCGCGCCCGGATGCTGAGAGGGTACGCAAGGTCAGGTCGAGTGCATGTCATCAGGAACATGAGGCAGCCTACAAGCTATGGATACGGACCACTCGGACTCGTCCGAAGGTGGAGCTGAGAGCGAGTGGCGTGTAGGCAAAGGAGTGGGCTGTGGCGAGGAGAACTGAAAGCGGAAGTGCTGAAGGACCTGCTGCACCATGTGTGACTGAGTTAGAGTGATGATGTGCCGTGCTGTCCCAGTTGATCTGCAAGCCAAGATAGCTACGTAGCTCACCCAGGTCAGTGCAGGTGTGTCTCTTCTGCAGCTCCGCTTTCACACGAACTAGTGCCTCAGTGTGAGCAGTAGCAAAGACCAAGCCGTCGACGTACACGAGGACGTATAACGGCGGCAGAGAAGGGTCGGTGCGCAGAAAAAGCGATGGGTTATTAGTCGAAGGAGCAAAACGAAGAGCCGCAAGTGTCGTCCTCAATGTGTCGTGCCACTCACGGGGCGCCTGGCGTAGACCGTAGATTGGCCGACGAAGGCTCCACAAGGTACCCTCAGGAAACGACCCAGTGAAGCCAGGTAGGCAGCGCAGCCATATCTCCTCGTGAACGCTGCCCTGCAAGAAAGCTGTGGAAAAGTCGAGAGAGTGCAGCTCGTAGTCACGCTATGTTGCAACGTGTAGTAACACCTGAAGAGTGGTCATCTTTGGAGTGGGGGAGAAGGTCTGGAAGAAGTCGACCCCCTGCCGCTGACTGAAGCCTCGTGCAACGTAACGCGCCTTGAAGGCAGGCAGAGAACCCGACGGCCGCTTCACCCTAAACATCCACATGCCATCGACTGTGTTCGCCCCACGAGGGGGAACTGCGTCGATGTAGGTGCTTATGGACTTCCAGGAAGCCATATCTGCATCCATGTCTGTCTGCCACTGAGAGGAGTACTCACCCGTGATCGCCTCTACGTAAGAGCGCGGGGTCGGGATGTCCAGTGCATCCGGGTCCCCCTCAAGGGCAAGCATCATGGCAGCAAGATGAGGTACAGCAGCCGCAAAGCACTCGAGCTCAAACTGCCTGTCCTCAAGGACGTCACAGCCAAGGGCAAGCCCACCCCCGACGGGCGGAGTACGACAAACAGTGCGAACAGGCGAGGCAAGACGAGACGCAGGCCAACGACGCTCAGTCAGGGAGTCTGTCAACTCAGTGTAAGGAGAAGGAGCAGACAGTGGGGATTCAGGCGGTAACTCTGTCTCAGACAGGTCAGGTGGTGGACACAGTAGAGGAGGAGTAAGACTAGTGGAAGACGGAAGACTGATAACCTGGCGAAGCGCCGAGTCAGATGGTGGCAGCGACGACTGCGGTTGGGGCCAAAAGAACGGTCGCCGCTGCGGAGCACCCCCAGTACCAGTACCTCCAGTACCTCCAGCTCTAGCACCTCCAGAAACCCCAGCTCCAGGGCCTCCAGCACCAGCACCTCCAGCACCAGCACCTCCAGCACCAGCACCTCCAGCACCTCCAACTCCAGTACCTCCAACACCAGCACCTCCAGTACCTCCAGCTCCAGCACCTCCAGCACCAGCGCTTCCAGGACCAGCACTCCCAGCAGCTTCAGCTCCAGTACCTCCAGCACCAGCACCTCCAGCTCCGCCACCGGAGCTGCCTCGTCGGACAACCCACTCGCGAAGCTGCTGCGGCGAGAGAGTCCTCTGCCGACAAGACTGCTGCTGCTGTCCACCCCTTGACCCTCCAACAGGAGCACCCATGACTCCACCACCACTAGAACGCTCAGCAACCCCAGAACCAGCACCCCCAAGTTCAGCACCCCCAGGCTCAGCACCCCCAGAATTAGCACCTCCAGCGTCAGCACCCGCAGAGTCCACACCTCCAGCGGCACCACCCCCAGCAACACCGGAGTCCACCGTAACAGGCGGCAAAGGTGGCGAAGACGGCCGAGGCTGAAAGCCAGGAGGGGTCCCCAAGCGTGGGGAGTGCCGAGAGGCCGCCGTGTCGTCAGTAGCAGGGTCACCCCCCTCAGCCGGGCCAGAGGTGTCTGAGGAGACCTCCAAAGGCTCAACCAAGGCAGATGGGTCGACCTGAGACACACCTGAGGGAGCAGGACGCTAGGGGGGGTGGGGGTCTACTGGAGGGTAACCTAGAACCAGGAAGAGTGGCGGGGGGACAGGAGACGACACGTGGGGGAAGAGACGGTAAGAGCTGACGGACTCGTCAAAGGTGACGCCCTGGGAGGATAGGACACGGCGCGTGGCAGGGTGGTAATATTGTCACGGCGGAGCATCTGTGGGAAAGCCAAGGAAGACGCAGTGAATGGTGCGAGAAGAGAGCTTGCCTGTGGTAGTATCGCGGACAAGGGCAAGTGAACCCCAGACCCGAAACGCAGACGCATCGCCAACCTCAAACACAGTGTAGGTGAGGTCTCTGGCTTGGAGACACGGGGCCAGAGGTTGAGCTGATGCGGGGCGTATCAGACCGCAAACGGCCGCAGAAAATGGGGAGCCACCGCATGGATCATGGGCGTGCAAGCAACCTCCATGATCAAGCCAATGCGGCGCTCAATGATCTCATTCTGCTGTGGAGAGGCCGGAAGCGTGAACGACTGGGTGATGCCCTCCTCACGACAAATTCCTCAAGAAGACCGGAGGAAAACTCACCTTCACGGTCAGAGTGCAGTCGCAATACCGGGAGGTCTTGCTGGAAACGGACAGCGCGGATCCAAGGGATCAAAACACTACGGACCTCGCCCTTGCTCAGCAAGGGAAACACCGTGGTGTAGCGCGTGTAGTTGTCAACAACCAGCAGGAAGTAGCGCTCTCGGTCCTGTCCACACACGTCCATGTGCAGGGTCTGAAGAGGAACAGAGTTCAGAGGGAACGAGGAGGAGTGAGGAGCGGCGCGCTGCCGCGCCTCGACGCAGGGAGTGCACGGCGGCGCAAGCGACGGTGGGAGTGGGGGCAGGGACCTCGGGAGGCCAGAGACAATGAGATGAGAATGCATGCGTCGCAGATGCTGCAGGGTACGCTCGCTTGAAGGCCTGGGCCCGGCATGCCATTATCCAGAGAACGGCAGAGCATGGCCCGTGGTGGAAGTCAATGTAGAAGGCTTGGGTTTTCAAGTGCCACGCATTGGTCATCATCTCCGATGACGGGCTTTTTCTCGCTCCACGTCGTGATTGATTGCGCGGCACAAATGCATCTGAAGAGAGAAACATCCGACCAGTTTGTTTCACGCGTGAGTGCTAGCCGTGCTTGTCTGTAGTAGTTCCATGCTGTGTGTATAGTGTATAGTGTTAGAATAAGAAAGGACCTTTGGATAGGATAAGCCTGCTAGAGTAAGACAGCGGAAGTCTTTATAGGTCGACCTTGATCATAGTGAATGTAAATGACAAGATGAAAATAATAAGAATTACATTGCAATATATAGTCCCAGCTAGCCATGCACTCTGAGGGGTACACTCCCTAATTAACGGTAATAAAGTTATAGCAGTTACCTCATTGCAGCGCGAAAGCTCCGAAATGGTTGCAACCTGCGAAGCAGTTC